AAGTAGCCAATCTTTGTATAGCAATTTAAGGATTTCATCCTAGTAGTTCATAAAGTACATAGCACGACCTAGTCCAGGAGAAGCACACTACGAGATTCGCCCAGTTGGTTCTCGTCAGGAGTGCACATTTCTGCGGTTCTCTACTGGGGATCGAACCCATGACCGATGTAAGCAGATGCCAACTAACCAGCAGCTTAAACAACTGACCTATAGTTGTAGTAGGATCTGATATATAATTTGCAATTTAACCGGGATATAGCACGTGCTATCTTACACCGTCTCTTAGAGTGCTTGCCGACAACTGCAGAAATTCGCCAATCTATTCGCATTCTCAATAACAATTGAAACTACAAAAGGCTACATGCTTTATATTATTCATGAGTAACCGGATTTAATTGTTATTATAAGGCTTTCATTCCAGTAAATCACAAGACACTTAGCACAGTGTATCCTGGAATGGTGCGCGACGCGTTTCACGCTATTGTGTCTTGTCAGTTGTGCTCATTCCTTCAAACGCTACTGGGGATCTAACCCACGACTGCAAATCAGATACCAGGTAGCAAGCAACTGAATTAATTTAAGCCATGGTGCACGATGACTTTGCAATAAAGTTTGCAAGCTTACTAGGTTATAGCAAGGCTTACATTGCACTGTCACGAATTGTAGCTAGCCGGCGAAGCCATGATGTCGTCTGGCAAATAATTTGAATATACGAGAGGCTATATATGCTATATTATTAATGAGTATGTGGATTTTATTTGTAATTTGATGGCTTTCCTTCCAGTAGTTCATAAATACATAGCTCAGCCTAGTCCAGATAAGTATTATTTGCTTGTTGCTTTCTCGAGTCTCGTCAGTTGTGCGTATTCCTTCGGTCAGTTACGGGGGTCGTACCCGTGACCGCATGCCGAGTAACCAGAAGCTAAAGCCCCGGAGACATGAAAGACGTTGGCTAGTTAATTTATTTTGCAGGCTATCTGGGATATAACATACACTATATTGTACCGCCTCAGGCAGTGGCTAACCGGCGGGACTATGACTTCCATTATGTGGAACCTGTAACCACAGCATTTGCTACTATTAGATGTTGTATATATTTTATACTAGTCATAAGTATCCGTATTGTATTCTTATATTCGATGCATTCATTATAGTAGTTCACAAGAAAAATATCACAGCTTATTCCGGAAATGCACCAGACGAGATTTTCATTATTAGACCTTGCAAATGTTGCTCCTTTCCTCAAGTTCCTTCTTGGGATCAAACTCATGACCGCTAGAGGCAGATGCCATTTAGCCGGCGACTTAAGCCTTTCTTCCATGAGGGACCATGTCTGAGATATATACTTTGCATGCTAAATAAGATACATCAACTCCCATGCATTAATTTTACAATCACTTGTTAGCCGGCGAAGCCTTAAGTATTCTAGCAAGACGGTAGAGCCATAGCTTGTAAAATAGGAGGGAATATATTGTTTTCATTTATATTAAAGGTGGCTAGAAAATTTTTGTAAATTTAAAGAGTTCATCAAAGCCTTATCCGGAAAGGTACGCGATGGGCTTCACCTTATTTCAGCTTACCAGTAGTGCGTATTAACATGGTCCCTTACAGAGGGTGGAATCAATGACCGCTAAATGCAGATAAGAACTATCCAGAAACTTATGCCACGGAGACATTAGGTGCGTTGGTTGCACAATATAATTTGCAAGCTAACTGGGATATTAAGCGAAATATGTTTCAATGTTACAGAGAGTGTCTCTCCGGCGATGCCATGCTGTCCTCTAAAAAGACGTTATAACCATAGCAATTAAAACTAGGAGAGACTATATGCTTTATAATAATCATGTTTATCCGAAATTTCGTTGTAATTTTAGCGTTTTCAGTCCAGTAGTTCACATGACACATATCACAACACAGTCAAGGAAAGCGCCAAACGCGTTTCGCCTTTGCTGGGGCTCGTTAGTGTTACGCATTCATTAGGTCCCGTACTAGGGATCCAACCCATTTTCATTAGAGGCAGATACCAATTAGCCAGCAGCTAGAGATACTTAGCCATGCGGGACGTTGCCTGTTCTATATATTACGCAGGCTAACTGGGGTATAGCATGACCCGTGTTTCAATGTCACGGACAGTGCTCAGACGGCAATTCCATGTATTCCTTTCGCTAGACACTACACTTATAATCTATGAAAATAGGAGTGGCTATATATTTATTATTACTAAGCAGTGGCCAAAATTTATCTGTAGTTCAAAGGCTTTCGTCCCAGCAGTTCACAAGATACATAACACTGCATGTTCCGGAGAGCAGCAGACCCGTTTCGCCTATTGGGGCTCATCAGTGTTACGCATTCCCTCTGTCCCTTACTGGGAACCAAACCGATGACCGCCAGAGGCACATACCAACTGGCCAACAGGATAAGCCACCCAATCAAGGCGGAGGTTGTCTGGGAATACAATTTACGAGCTAACTAGGATATAGCACGAAATATGTTCCACTGTATCGGAGGGTGGCTTGCTAGCGAGGCCATTAAGTCCTCTTGGTAGAGGCTATTTCCGTTTCATTTCCAATAATAAAGGCTTTATGTTTTATCTTTTCCTTAAGTAGTTGTATCTTAGTAGTAATTTTAAAGCCTCTACCAAGTTATTTACAAGAAAGGTAGTACAGCTTTGTTCAGCGAAGCACTAGACTCGTTTCGCCCTATTGTTTCGTCAGTGGTGCTCATTCCCTCGGTCCACTACTGATGATTAAACCTACGACGGTTAGAGGCAGACGCTTAATATCCAGCAGCATAAGCCACTTAACCATGGAGAACCTTGTCTAGGATGTATAGTTTGCAAACTAACTGGGATATAGCACGTCCTTTGTTCCTCTGTCACGGAAATTGGCTAGCTGGGGAGTCCATAGCACATTCTCACTAAACGATATATCCATGGCTTTTGCAATAGTAGAGGCTATGCTTTGTATATTACTTAATATTTGCAGCATATGTTTTATCAATTTCTAAAAATTTCACCCTGGTATTTCATGAGAGACATAAGGTATCATAGTCCAGAAAGACAGGCGCCCATTTTCGAACTTATTGCGGCTCGTCAGTGGTGCGCAGTACCTTAGTACACTAATGGGGATGGAACCCATGACAGCTAGATGTAACTAGCAATTAGCCAGCATCATAAAACACTGAGACACGGAGGTTGTCGGCTGAGCTATATAATTTGCAAGCTAACTTCTCACTTGTTCGATCTATGTTCCACTTTTACGGACAGTTGCAAGCCGTCGAGACAATAGACATCCTCTCGCTAGACGCTGTGTCCATAGCATTTGAAATAGGAGATTAAGTATGCTTTATATTTCTCATGAAAAGGAGCCTATTATTTGACATTGTAAAGATTCCGTTTAGTATTCCATAAGTTACATAGCACAGCCTTGTCTGGAAAAACGTTAGATGGGATTCCAAATATTTCAAATAATAAGTGGTGCGCTTTCTTCCCTTCCCTACTGAAAATCGAACCCATAACCGCTAGAGGCAGGTGCCAACTGACCAGTAGCTTAAGCCACCGAGCCATGGGGTACGTCTTCTGGGCTATGATATTTACAAGCTTAATTGGATTTAGCCCGACTAATTTTCCACTGTCACTGATAGTGGATACACAGTGAGGCCAAGCATTCTCTCTCTTGATGTTATAGGCATAGCATTTGAATCATGGAGAGGTCATGTATTTTATACTAAGCATGCTTAGTTAGAATTCAGTTGTGATTTGAAGACATTTACCCCAGTACTTCACAAAATACAAAGCAATGTCTTGTTCGGAAATTCGCTCGAAGCTTTTCGCCTTATCGGTCCTCGTCATTCGTCTGGATTAATTCGCTTAACTACTAAGATCGAACCCATGAACTCTAGAGCCATTTGCCAACTAGCGAGCAGCTAAATACACTAAGTCATGGAGGCCGTTGCCTGGGCTATTTGATTTGCGATCTAAATGGTGTATAACAAGTGTTATGTTCCACTGTCACAAAGAGAGGCAAACCGTCGTTGCCAGGACTTAATCTCGCTAGGTGCTATAACCATAATATTTGAAAATAGGAAAGGCTGCTTATTTAATATTAATCAGGAATAGCAGTATTTCGTTTGTAATTTCAAGGGGTACATCCCAGTACTTCCCAAGATAAATAGCACAATCTAGTCCGGAAAAGAACCGAAAGCTTTCCATCGTAGTGGGGCTCGTCAGTGGTGCGCATTCCCTTGTTTCTCTACTGGTGTTCGAAACCATGACCAATAGAGGCAGATGCCAACTAGCCAGGAGCTTAATCCATTGAGCCACGGGGGAAGTAGACTTGGCTATATAATCCTCAAGCTAAATGTGACATTGTACGGCTGATAATTCACTATCACGGAAATTGGCTAGACGGCGAGGCCAAGAAGTACCCTTGCTAGACGCAACATCCAAAGCAATTGAAACTGGGAAAGGCTATATCCTTTATATTACTCCTGAACTGCCAAGTTTTAGTTATGCTGTATCACTAGTAACTTACAAGTTATATAGCCTTTTTATCGTCCCTGTATCTCCGTGGCTTTAGATCCTGGATGGCTGGCATCAGCATTTTCTGTAATGGGTTCGACCCCCAATAGCTTTTTGATGGGATGTGCACCACAGATCAGTCTCAGTTTAGCAAAATACATCTGGTGCATTTTCGGACTAAGCTGGGATTTGTAGCTTTTGAGTTTCTGGAAGAAAACCATTGTTAATTTCCTTTCTCTGTGCAACAATTTTATTTATCTTCTTACAAGTTTAATTTTTCCCTAAAAATATGAAATTTGTTAAATTATCAGACATAAAGATAAGGGTGATGGAATTTGAAATTCAGATGCTTAAACACAACTCCAAACAGTTTTACTGCTCAATACAATAAGAACTGTTTTCTTCCATATCATATTGATATCTTTATTTCCTAATAATTGTTTGCTCTAACATATTTTATCTATTACAATTAAGGCCACGTTTATACGTGTTCAGTCTCATTATTTTGGTTCTCTTCATATATGGCAACTTTGTTCATCTCCGATGCTTTGAGTACACACATGTTCACACATGTATTATAGATATATAACAATTGAATGCAATGCTTTGAGCCGGGCTCCTTTTCGCAAGCAGCAACTGCAGCGTTGGCATCCGCCTTGCATTCTTTGTTACAATATACGTATTCCTTCGGATTCTCCCGGTTTGTTTGCGCCGCAACCATTAGCATCGCCTTAATGGAGACAAGGTAGTATACTGGTTAGTTTTTGCACCTGCGAATTTATTTACCTAAAATCATTATCAAAGAAGTTGCCGAATTCCTAAACAAAATGGAAACTGCTTATGACGATAACTAAATATGTTCCTTTTTCATCAAATAAGTGACCTCAATTGAGGTTGTTTGCCAGTTGTGTTTTATGTGGTCGGTTACGTGCAGTATATGAGTGTGCTTAAGGTTACTGGACAATCTATAAAATGCTAGAGGCACACAGGACATGTGCGTGTTGGTTGGAATTTTTACCCTAGCCATGACTATTTATCCTCTGACTGAAAGAAAATAGTGACTAACGCGGAAAGAACAGAAATGTACACGTGATCTTCCCGCACCAGTGGTTTTCACCGCGACTTTCCGAGTTGATTTAGGAATATAATTATCGTTATTGTGCAACTATTACACACAGAATATTCAATTAACCTTACATTAATAAGCAAATGTTCAGCGGATTTAAGTTAGGCGAACTATCGCTAACACAGCTGAATAAAACGAAGTTGATAATCTTGAGTTTCGTAAATTTTGATTTATGGTACATTTTTGTAAGATTGGAAGCGATGTAGTGTAATATTTGTTTTCATTTTTGTAAACGGCAAATGCGGATTCCAGCGGTTGATATATCTAGCAGTTTGTAATTATTCGGTATAAAAACCTACCCTAATCCTACCGCAATTCACAGTCGTTAATATCAGTTTGATCCGGCAATAGTAAGCGGTGAATAATATTATGACAAATCTCTCAGCTATTTAGCGGTGCTCTATAAGTCTTGCACGTTCTATTTAACAATACACGCGACTTTATACATTACGTTTGAACGCATCTACGCTGATTATCATGGATTGTTCTATGAAGAGCAACAGGGTCGTTCACTCGTGATGAATACTTGATTAATTTTTAACCTTGGTGTTTCTTTACTTTACCCAGAACAGCTTATGGAAAACAAAAAAGAGATAAGGGGAATACATCTTACACTGAGCAATATGTTAGCTAGAGTTTTGTATTGCGGATAAAAGAACGGGAGTGCTTCGTCCCTATTTAAGCAGTGCTAGTCTTCGCTAGCTGGTTGCAAAATAAGGCATCAGAACTCTAACACATTTTCGTAAATTTTCTCAGAGACACATTCTTACGCTGCAGGATAACGGCCTAGGTGAGCGTGGATATGTAGTCGCGAAACCATTCGGATTTATTTATCGTCCATTCGACCGCTTGAATGCCAACAGGAACCGTGGGGGTGTCACATTCTACCACATCAATAAGGCATGACGCAACTCAAGACAAAACAATGTTAGACGCAGCTCTCAACATAACAACTGTTTCGTTGTCTAATGCAGATCAAGATGCCTGAAAGAACAACGCTCAATTTTGCTAATAATATTATTCTCAATGTTTTCTCTGTATGTTTTAACATATATGGTATTGAGATTACCGATTAGGTCAGTTTATCATATGGTCATAGGATCATAGGATTGTAGAGAGCAGAATGAAAAATCATTGTCATCTCCATCGTTTCCCGATCACTGTGTTGAGGCAGCGATTTAAAGTTATACGGTAACCCACAACGGACCGTGACAGCTACACTGGAAGCTGCAAGGGCCCATCGTACTCAAAAGATAAGAATCCAACATTCGCTTGAAACTTTCCTCAGTAACTTTCCTCGGTAACTCTTTCCAATAGTTGACTAGGCGAGTGGATAGAGCGAGAGCAGGATGAACCCGGAGCCTTCTGGATTTAAACAGTGCCCACTTGTGGTGTCGAGTTGAACTGTTTGCATTGAATTTAAAGCACGCCTGTAGCTCCGCCCCTTTCTCTCCTCTCAGGACGCGCCTGGTGAAAATCAGGTCACCGCGACGTCGACGATAATCCAGGGAGAGCAGGTTCATCCTCTGAAATCTCAGGGGATAAGGCAAGTCCAGTACCTCCAAGACGTATTTCGATCCTCGCCGTTGGACCTTCTCAATGTGGTCACATTCGAACTTGGTGAGAGGGAAGATGGCAGGTAATCCGTATTTGAGAATGGGCCGGACATGGGAAGTAAACAACTGTATGAAGATATCCGGAGTCAAACGTGAGAAGGCTGTTCGTATGGCATGGGGCATTCTGTTGGCAGCAGCAACCGCTCGTAACGTGTCCTGTTTAGTCCGTAGATCAAATGAAGCCAACACACCGAGGTCTTTTTCAGGTATTGAAGTTCTGGGCAACGCCCCACCAATGTGGTACTTCCCAAAAGGCTCAGGAGCGCCAATGGGGAGGACTGAGCACCTATCGCAATTTATGGGCATTCGACATTTGATTGACCACTCATGTAACGTATCAATTATGGCCAGTAATCGATCCGCATCCTCAATCCAGGATACCACCATCCACAACTTCAAGTCGTCAGCGCAATTCGAGCAATCCAACTGAAGTTCCGCCAGGAGGACATTTAGGAAATACTTGAGAAGTTCTGTGCCCACGACCGACCCCTTTGGAACACCACTAGTAATGAGCACAGGAGCGGAGTAAGTCTCGTTCTCGTCAACCCGCATTTTCCAGACATCCAAAAATCAACTATCCAAGATAGAACGTTCCCAGAAACATCTATTCCTCTTAATTTATAAAGGGGCCTTTCATGAGGAACCTTGTCAAATTATGTGCTGAAGTCGACAAAAATAACATCCAGACTTATCCCGGCATCTAATGATTTCGCCCATCTTTCACGGGCCACAAGCAGAATCGAAGAACATGAGCTTTCCCGCCGAAAATCATGCTACGCACAGGATTTGATGTTTACGTTCGCGAGGTGGAGAAGAAGTGCCCGCTTGAGAATCCTCTCCATTACCTTGCACAATATGTACGTAAAGCAGATGGGTCGATAATTAGCAGGATTTTGACGATCTCCTCATTTGTGTATTGGATTAACAATCCTTAATTTCCAAGCATTTGGGAGCCGTCCAATTTCGAGAGAATGGCGAAATACCCGTCCAACAGGAGCGGCAATGTAATCGCCCACAGTCTTGAGTAACAGCGGATGCAACCCAGCAGGACCCGGCGAGGAGTTCGGATCCAATTCATGAATGCATTTGGCAACGACATCAGCGCTAATTCATACATGTTCCCACGAAGAATGAGGTCTTGGCACCGCGTCAATGGCAAATGGCGTCTCCATCAAGTGAACAGATAAATATTGCATGGTCAGGAGACTGGATCTCGTAGCGTCATCGTCAAGTAAACCGTCATGCGCCAAGGAATACAGAGCAGGAATACCACTGCCTGCTCTGGTACTTCTCTTCAAGGAAGTGAAGAGTGTTTGGGAGTCGTCTTGGATTGCACAGTTAAACCGATTTCGTAATTATGCCGCTTCCCACGTTTTTTTCAAGTTGCAGATATTCCTGGCCACTTTATATTCCGAATAGTTAGACTCGGATTGCGTGGGCTTGAATCGGACCCACAGTTTCAGTCTTTGTTCATTAGGCCCCTCAGTTCTCGATCAATCCTTTAGAGGACCTCTGGCAAAAAGTCTTTCGTGAGCAGGAACGACCTGCTCAACGGCGGAAATGGTTTTGGAGTACAAGAAATTCCACTCCTCTCCAAATTCAGGGGTTCGGGTATACTCCAGTCCACAGTACTAACGGCCGTTTGTAGGCGTTTGGGATTAACACGCCAGAAATTTCCGCGAAGGCGATCTTGGTTGTGGAGAGTAAGGCGTGGGGTCCAGAGGAATAAAACCACAGAGTGATCGCTGTCACCACTGTGTAAAAAAGGCTAGGCCGGTGACATCTGATTGTGCCGGTGAGAGTAGAAGGTCAAGAATATGGGGTGTTTGTCCTGCGATTACACTAGTAGGCATTGTGACATGGAATAAGTTACATTCTATAACAATCTCAAAAGAGCGAACTCAAAAGCATTTGTAGAAGGAACACAATGTAGTTGGTCCCAGTCGATAATCGGGTATTGAAGTCACCCAGTACTAAGCAGTCCTTGCCTCCACCATGCATTTTAATCGCATCCAGCAAGAAAGCTACGGAACCCAATGGGGCCCTCTAGACAACACCGACCGTGAGAGATCTGCATCGATCATGAACACGGCACCAGAGAGTTTCGAAATCGCCACCGCTGTCACAGGTAGCTTCAACCAGATGAGCCTTTAAGTCTTTCTTCCAGTAGAATATCACACCACCCCCAGGTCTACCTTCATGGCGGTCTGCCGGGCAAAGATGTTATCCGCGGATCTGCACTTCAGAATCCACGATATCCGGGGACAACTAGGTTTCGATGAAAGCTATAAGATCCGGCCGATTCATTGAGGCAAGAAGCTGAACTTCGTCTGGTTTGTTTCTGATACTGCGCACATTCGAAGAAAATACGCGCAGTCCGTTCTTCAACTCTAACGCCCGGGCATGCCCAGGAGTGGTCTCTAGTGAGTTCTTGGCGTTTTTCGAAGTACTCGAAAATCCACCATAGGTAGATACGTCTCACCGTTATCACGACGATATCTGTGTTCATCAACCGCTTTCTTCATTTTACTGGATCCACCGGACAGATGTCTCGTAGTACGAAAATTGTTATCCTTTAAGACGCGGAGCTCGTCGGAGAATGCGATGGACTTCATCATCGTTTTGACATACAATCTTCAAGGGCCAGACCTTAGAGGAGTCCTCCTGTTTCTTGTCATGGCGGAAAGCGGAGACGATGTTGATTACTGGCTCCCCTTCTTCGAGCAGTAAGATGATCATCCGTTTTAGAAACTCTTGATCATGCATAATCTTTTCAGCTGGATTGGTTTTGGACGACTCAGGAGCATTTATGATGACTAGGTAAAGGCCACGAGAGGGTAATTTGTTGTTATCGGGAAGCTGCGACTTGTGGGGAGGTGGATGCTCAGTAAACAGGTTTTCCAGCTGACCGACTCTATCCAGAAGTAGCTTCAACTTTGATTGTGAAGACGATGGTTTGCGTTTCACCTTGACATCTGTCTTGCCCTTACTTCCGACCACTTGTACTGGCGAGGGCAGTGGCGCACATTCCTTCGCTACAGATGCATAAGTCTTGGTATTTGGGGTTTACCATGGTCAACAGCCGCCAACTTACCAGTGGGGGTAATTAGACCAGAAGCTAGTGACGAGAACCATGGGGATGCCAAGGAGGCAGTATGGCTGATTGACTCGGTTTGAACAGAAGAGAAACTCGGGTTCAGTGCAGGCAGTCCACCAAGCGGTGTAGTGTCTGTACCTGCTTTCTTTGCTCGTGTCCGACAGGTAAGGATATAATTTGAGTTGGAGAGCAGCGGAGGATCTTTCTGCTTTGGAACCGAATGCAGACATGATGGACTTCGACATATTGGATGTAGGCCATTGGAAACGCGACTGAGACTCAGTTCAGCGCCACATGTGTCACAAATGAAGACAACGACGACGGAGGAGGTGGTCCGATGCAGTGGATCGTACAGATCTGGACCGAATTTACAACATGCAATGTGCAGCCAGCCTTCGCAGAAGGAATATTGAACAACATTACAACAATCCATTCATTTGGAAGACATTGTAAACTTTACACGGTAACTTCAGAAAAAATCTTTAAGGCAGTAATGAAACACAAAGGAGCTCGCTATCCGTAGATCAACAGTGACAGAGGACACTTGCAAAGTAACGACCATCACCGGAGACGGCGTGATATCATCTTGTCAGTGAAAGTTAATGCGTGAAAACCTGCGATACTCCAGGAAAGACCGTTTGGATCAAATATGTGTCCAGCTTGCAATGGAGTTATTAAATGATTGGTACTTTTTTGATCACCGGTGCTTACGCAGTGTTGTTCACAGCTGGTGGGAACACTGACTGAGATATGCTGCGGTCCAAGAAATGGTTTTTGGCAGGAAGCCTTCCATTGTTTTATTCCAGTGTGTTCCTAACCTCAACAGATGACGTCGGCTAGTTCACATCCTCCCTGGAAACTAGACCGCCTTTCTCGGCGAGCATTACACGAGGGCCCTGGGCTAGGTTGGACAAAATTGTGAGGCGACATAAGTACACGCATGACTCGAATAAGTGAGTTGGAAAAACTGGTGTGGATGCGGACCACGGAATGTTGAACATTGGTCTGTGTACCTATCCGAAAATAGTGTAGTCCCGCACTCATTGGCATTCCTGTACTAGGTTTATTGCAACTACACTTTAATATTTTTTCCATGCCGATTAGTATGATAAACTTCATTTCTGACTTTATTTATTTTGACTTGTTTGCACTCAGCTGCATAAATGAACCTTTATGTTTTATTGGTAGTTTGCGATGCAAGTCGTCAAAACTGAGTGAACCACACTTCCGTTCACGGACCATAAATATTAAATGGAACTGAGCTGAACCGCTCCGAATAAGCAGCATCGCAAACAGAATCATTTGATATCATAAATAAGCATAATTCTAAATTTTACTAGGGTAGTCAGTTAAGAATACAAAGAAAACTAGCAAATCTAAACAGCAATTAAGGGATTTGTGAACGTACCAGTATGATGACTATGCGAGTCATTAGTTCTCTCACAATAAAACTTACAATGTGTCAACACATACAGTAGATTCAAATCAGTGCATTTATACACGGTTCAGCTTGTGTCATGCTGGCTTTCAGACGAATAAGCGCATCCAGTCCGGGATAGTCATGTGCGCGTATGGCTTTTAATTGCCTCTCATTGGTAGCCTGATTAGTTGCATGTAACTCTGCGTAAATACGATTAGTCCACGGATAGTGAAATTGAACAGTAAACGGAATGCGTTTCAAAGTGTATAATCTATGAAGATTGAGCAGTGGTTTATAATTGCTAAGTAAGCGAGCATTGGATAAATAAGGTGATGCCGGGATCCAGTATTACAGAATTAAAGGCAAAAATAGCAATAAAAAAGGGACCAAAATATTTCGGTTTAGCTGAATCGCCAAGCAATAACTGTGAAAACGGTTGCAGTTTTCCTTACCGGTGTGTTACGGAGAAATATATTTGGCACACCCTTTGGTTCGAGTTCTTCCTATTTTTGATTGCAATGGACCGAAACGCGTAACAGAAGAGGATAAGGATTCGTTCGTTTTTCTTAATAAAAGCAATAGTGCAAGTCTAAAGTGAAGCGCGTTTTATATCAGGAATAAAGCTATTCCAAAAAAATTGTCAGCGATTATTTCGACATTTTTGAATTGAAGATTGGTATTATTGTGCTCTGATGTTAGTACTAGGACGCAGCCATTGAATTTCGTAGCGCTTTGCATATACTACTCAATGGATTTAAAACTATACAAGATTTTTGCGTTATATCTGAAGCAGTCATGCTGATCATCAAAACTTGTTAACTAGAGAGCAAATTCATTCGTCACTCGCCAAGTTTAAAACACTTACATTTTTACAAGCTTTGTATATTGTCTCTATTCACTGACAAATATTAGAAAACAAAACAAAGTGTTGCAAAGTTATGTAACTTGAGTATTTTAAATAACGCAGTGCGAAGACGAAAGCTGGCATATATTAAAATTATGTATTTTCTCGTCAGGGCCAAAACGATAGCTATATATATGTATATATATACATATATAGCATGCTCGTTTGGTTCACTTTGCGTGTGTTGAACAGGAAATACACTTCACACTGATCACTGATGATTTCAACATATAACTTTTGGTATCCCAGGAATTTCAATATAATAATTCATTATTTCCCCGCTTCATGCTCACTTCATTTTGTTCACTGGGTTCCGAGCGGAAACTAGCCATCCATATTAAACCTGATGTTCACAGAGGAATAGTGCATGATCGAGACGGTGGTCACGGATAATGTTCTCGACCGCATTCACTATGTTACCATGTTGAGTATAAAATGTAACCTATCCGCGAGAACTAACCTGCTTAATAACCCAAGCTAACCTAGTGTGTCCGGGTTGTCCACGAATAAAAGTTGAGACAACAACGACATTTGGATAATGTATTCTGCTGCGGTACAAAGCTACTTTACAGGCGCTTTGACAATGCTTACTATGTAAAGCTTGTATTTCCGCCTCTGAACACTGTCTGAATACAAGCGCGAAATTACACAGAAGCAGCCAATGCAATTATACATTAATAGACTGTACTTTATAGGATTGTCCGCGATCGCATACCACCGTCACAAAAATTAGCTCACCAACTACATACTGTGCATCTCATTAAATTCCGCGGACGTGCTGAAACGACTGAAGTTGCAAGGCTTTTAAGAACTAATTCAATGACAGTATCAGCCACGATACTAGCTTAATCTTTATCTCAGTTGTTCCAGTGCTTCGTGGACGAGATGTAGGTTTTAATTAAATAAATGCAATAAAGTATCAAACACACGCGGAGATCGCGGCCTTTGAATGTTACTACCGCTATATGGACGAAATATGTGTCGTTGACCAACCAGTCTGTTGACCTTGACGCTGTTATTGACCGTTTTAATCGGGCCCACGCATCATTGCAGTTTACCTACAAAAAATAATTGACGATCAGTTGCCGTTTCTTGATGTGTTATTAACCAGAAGGGCAGACGGCTCGATCCAACGGCAGGTCTACAGGAAGAAAACCTGGAGTGGCCAGTATACGAACTTTCACAGCTTCGTTCCGTTGAGATATAAGCGAAACCTAATTCGCTGTCTAACCACAAGGGTCCGCAGGATCATTTCTGAAGACAAGTTGGATAATGAGTTGACCTTCATTCAGAATTTGCTGCTCGAAAACGGATAACCTGATCGTTTCGTTTTCAGCAACATGCAAAATAAGTCCGACCAGTTGCAGATTCAGACAGCAGACGAAAAAGAACATTTCATACGACTACGCTACAAGAAAGACGCCGCTGCTGAGCTTGTAACAAGAAGCCTTTCAACAGCTGTCAAGTCAACTTTCCCAGCAGCCAATTTTAGGTGCACCTTTTTCACGGAGCCACTAATTGGCATTTACAACAAAGACAAGTTACCGAGACTGACCTCTTCTATGGTAATTTATCAGTTCAAGTGCGACTGTGGCGCTACTTACATCGGTCGAACGGCGCGGCAACTGTCGAAGCGCATTAAGGAGCACCTACCACGCTGGCTGCGTCGAGGCGTTACTGGGGCTATAACTAGCTCGGTTATGGCTCATCCTGTTGATAGTGGGCATATGGTTGACCCAGTGAGTGCCTTTTGAATACTATAAACGCTCCCTCCACTCCAGTCGAAAGACCTGCGCCCCCGCACCCTTGATACTGCCGAGGAGTTCAGCATTCGGTTGTATCAACCGCTTATGTGTGCACAAAAGAAGCTGATCGAAGCTGTTAAGCTATATTGGCCAGCCAAAACGGATCCTTCTGAGAGCAACTGTAATTGTGCAACTACACCTCTTTCCTATTTTGCTGTTTGTTACTGGTTCATGACTCCGGTCGGCAAAAGATCAATTTCATTTGACCTGATCGTTAATCCACTTTTACACCCATTGATATTTCACGCATATGATTGTACGGGTCTGAAGACGAATCATCGAAAACAATTGTTTTACCTTCGGTCTTTGTTCTTGATAATGAAATGGGAAATTTCCAGTTATGAAAAAGGAAGAAAGCGTGCAGTGTTGCGAAATATTGTCCCATATAACAAGGGAAATTGGAAAGTTACACACTATTAGGCAGAAACAGTCGCAAATTTAGACGAAAATCTTTTAATACCATGCCAGCTGCATGGATTGTTCGAAGCCGGTAAAGGAGATTACGCTAACTGTCTCGATCCATAATTCTATTCGATTGTCCCGAACACTCCATCACACCACAGAAGCATAGGATAAATTAAAATGGTGACGCTAACCTGGACTGTATGGTTGGCGGCATCAGGTTTCGGATTTGCCTGTCACTTTGGCCAAATACAGGAAGAATGCGGCTACAGAGGGACCATGGGTGGCTTGGGCTGCACCACCCACAGCTCCAACCACACACCCCATATCCAGTGTAACCCGAAGGAATAATACTGGGAGGCATCTGGATGGGAGCCAAGTGCCATCTATTGAGCCGGCCCACACTCCTTCACAAGCAAACACAAGCAAGCTGAAGTTGGAAATCAATCGCACACACTGCGGTGGTTGGATCCTAGTCCGCTCCACACTGACTGCATGGAACCACTCTTCGAGCCTAGCACGACCACAAGGACCGTGCACCCTGTCCCCTCCAGCAACGTCCAACTGTCTCCTGGAGCCAATATGGACGAGGTAGTGGGTAATAGGCAGGTAGACACTGTTTCAACATGCACATCAAGCGCAGCCACACCCTGGGGATGTCAAACTACAGCCAATCACTTGAAAGGACATTATCAAAAAAATATATATATGTTAAAGAATTCGGCTATGCCGACATAACTCTTCGATAACATAGCATGTGAATTAAATTTGTTATCGACGAATCCGCGATAAGTAGGAAATGTCCGGAAGTTGCTCGAAAATGCTACAAAGTTTACAAAGAGAACCACAATTATCACAAACAACCTTACCAGGTAATAGAAGATTAGTCGGATAGGAAGAACAAACTAAATAAAGTGGAATGAGATTTATCAAGGTTTAAATGATGTATTTGAAGTAAGTTGATTTAGTCGAACTACGGTGAAGAAGCATCATGAATTCAACATCACCTCTAGCATAGGGCACACCTGGTCTCTATACCTTCATTCCAACAAACGTAACGTTTGAATGAGCGAAACCCTAACTCTCTGTAGCTCCCTGTAGGTTTGCCTTGGCTTCACTAAACTCCTGGTACTGCAAACACGACTATTCCTGGCGTTCTCTAACGGTATCACATGACTTTAACGTTAAACCTTTTAGTCATTGCGAACGATCGCAAGATGACTGACGGACAGTCAAGCAATAGGCTGACCACATAATACTGCAACGTTATAGTAACCACGCTTATAACTGGTTGGTTTAGAACGTGCTTGAGTTTAGTGATGAGCACGGATCATCAGAACGCCTGCAATTATTGACTGAGAGCAATTATCTTGCAGCGCACTTCTCTTGAAATTATTCCGGCATTTTTCGTGCAGGAAGATCTTTGATGCACGTGGTAGATTGAGATGGAGTTGAAATAAGCAAGCCAACACAGAGGCTTCCTGCTGATAGCGTTTGGTCGCTTATAACCCACCTTTTCCTCACAAATACCAAACACTTTCCTGTGGCCACATTTGGAATTTGCTACGAAGGTGTAGCATTCGTGGCGAAAGAGAAGCAAACACGGAGGGCGACGAAATTGGTGATAGACTGCTCTGCCTCAATTAACACTTGCGGCAAAGTATTCTAGCAGACACCAGTGCACAATACCGTCTTCTTCGAGGTGAAATCAGATTGGTTGATCAGTTTTCGTGGACTTTGAACACCCACGCCACAATACCTCAGTGGAAGTCCATCATTCGAATTTACCTACACTACGACCGTACGGTATGCAGCCGGAACGTTTCCTCACTTCGTGCATGCCACTCTTAGCACACATTTCCGCAAGCGGTCAATTCCGCAGCTAAGTTAGCAAAACATGG